CAATCAACATGTGAAAAGTTCAATTTCTGTTGAAAATTCTTTGATTGTTACTTAGAGATTCTATGATACTTTTTTTCCTTAATGCTTCATACTCATATTGGTCATTCTGTTGATAATATTATATCTGTTATTATATTGTTCTTATTGATTAATTGTGCTGACTTAAAAATTCTGTAGACAGACCTCTTTTCAAGTACAAAACCTCGGGAAGAACAGAAAAGTCAGGAAATGGAAAATGACAAATGCTCACTCTCAAAGTCTGTGGCCGTCACATACTCTTTATTCCAGGAGAAGAAGCTGACCTTAGTAAGTGTTCCTCTCAGATTACAGAGAAGATCTTTTCAGTGTACTTGTGCTTGTGTTTTATCCGTTTTTCAATTTAAAGCTGTGACTTGGGGTCAGCTACTCTTATCACACAGCAGGTCATTTTATCTTTAATTTTATAACACAATGACATTTTCTTTTTCTCTTAAGCCTATCTCTGTCAAGTAGCAACAGCAAGAATAGTTTGACCATGATTATCTTAACAGAGACAGTATCACAGTTAGGGATGAACACATTTGTAGCTCAGAGATGGTGCAGCAACAACATTTTTTCAAATGGGACTAACAGTTAAAAAACTATTAGCATATGCATTGTTAAGAAACACAACAATAAAACATACCAAATAATACCAAAGACATAAATGAAGTTTTATCATTCTTTACATCATTAACCTCAAAATATGTGACACTTGATATTATGGAATGGATCTCATTTTTAGTCTGCTGGGCCTTCAGTGTAGAGCATTTGCCTAGCATGTGTGAAGTCCTTGGTTCTGTCCAGCACTGCAACAGAAAAAATCAGTAAGTTAAAGAAAAAGCAAAATGCAAAGCAGTGTAAAAGCAAACATGTATAAATATGTATGTGTTTATGTATGATGCTATTAATATGTGTGGCATGTGTGTGCTATTTCTGGAAAGTTATTCAAAGATCTGAAAATAACTTTATAAACCTACTCTTCACTCTGTATCTTTTCTTTTTAAAATCTGTGTTGGATACTGTTTTTAGAAAATCTTTATTACTGTGAAAAATGGTCATGTTAATATTTCCTCATTATTCTAACACAAATCTTTAAGGCTATTGCATTTTTTACTACACAAGGTGGAGAGTATATCAATAGAATAGGAGCACTGTGAAACCTCAGCTATGTTTACTTACTTGGAATCTCTGTCCTCTTTGACATTAAATTGATTTGGAGCAGGTTATATGGTCCAGGGCCTGCTTTTCCTATTCACCGTGCCCTGTCCACTATACATCATGACACACTTTTTAGCCTAACGTCCAGTGTAAACAAGAATAAATGGTCCATAGCCTATCCTGCTTAGCAGATGTCTAGATAGTCAAGTTATTCAGTTACAAATAGAAAGCCATTACCCCCAAACCAAATAATTCCATTATGCTGTTTTTGAGGTAAAACATGGTACATAGGAATTTAAGTTGAATCTTAACAAAAATGTACGTGTACATGTTGAACACACACATACACACACACACACACACACACACACACATACATACACACACACACATGATTTGCCCACATGTGTATGGTCACTGAATATGGTTAACAAGGAAGTTTGGAATAGACTCAATTTTCTGAATGAAATGCATTTTAATGTTTAACAATAATGTTAGGTTCTTTGGTATTATCAGTGGTGTTTGCTAGTATAACGTGATTGTTAGTTTTCTGTTTCTCCCTGGAGTCCAAGAGGGTCCTGCTAGTTAACCACAAAATTAAGCATGACTGAGGACTAATTAATGACGAGCAGTAATACAATTAGTTTGAAGTAATTTGATGCCTAGTATCAAGTAACCCCGATATTATGTACACATAGTGCATACTTTTTAGTGGAAAGGGGTAGAGATTTAATGAGAGTAATTTAATACCTACTTTTGAAGGATTAAATTATTGCCCTAATGGTCTACTCTTTGAAAGTATCCTCAGTCACACAAACACTATCTAAAGTCATACTTTCCAAATACAGTGAATGAGAATATTATGAATATTATGACTGAATGGTTATGCTTTTTGTTTAAAAGAATGTTTTTACCTAATGCATGTGGTAAATGTATTTAAGTAACATCTGTTTAAAAAGCTTCATAAAATGCTTAGCATAATTCATCTTAAGTTCAACAGCAGGGTATAGGTGAGCATCCTTGTTAGATGCAGTTAGGTTTATTAAAGTCCTCTCAGGACGTTATGAAGAGTGCTTCTGGAGGCTTACATTCTCAGTAAGCTTTTAGGGTTTGTCTTCTTGGAAATTCCTGTAATGTAAACACCGTGCATTGTTTCAAGGGTATTAGACTAGTTTTCTGTATTTTCAGAAGATTGTGGCATCTTTAAGACTTACCGTAGAATGACTTAACTCTGCTAATGATAGTTTTTCAAAGTAAACAGAGAAGGAAAGGATGAAGATTGAGTTTTTGGCTAAACTTGGGTGGTTTTGTTGTAATTACTGTGCAGAGTAGAATCTAGTGAATCTATAGTAATTTCAAAGAAATATTTAAAATGAAATTTTAAGTGAAGGTTTATTTCAGTGCTTATTTCTCAGTGAACATTCACTACATAAAGGTGTCAGTGTTTTCTTTCTGTAAAGTGCAGTGGGAAGTTTTAAGAACTCATTTGTTCTTTTGCTGTTTTTTCTGTAGCAAAACGTAGCTGAGAATAGGATTCTGCCTCTCACAGCCGTTGGCATGCACTTGGCCCAAGCAGTGAAAGCTGGCTATCCCCTGGATTTGGAGCGAGCTGGCCTGACCCCAGAGGTTCAGAAGATTATTGCTGATGTTATCCGAAACCCTCCCATCAACTCAGGTGATGAACACAGCTCTTCTCTTGACTTAATGACTTGAGTCAAGCCAGATGAAATAAACAGCAGCTTGCTCATATTCTTCCTAGACATTGACTCTTTGTGCTACTGTTTCTTACTGTTTTAGAAAAACATTCTTTCCTCCGATTATCACTCAGCAGAAAGTATACTGAGAAATTCTCCTTTTCACATAACTTTTCCTACCCATTCCCAAACTGGGCACTTTGACCTTTTTAGAATTTCTGCTTCATCACTTAAAAACCAAATTTTTCTCCTTAGTCATCTCCAGAAGCTTATTGAGTCCTTGTGTTTCCCTAAGCCTCTGATTCTCTGCCATTGGTTTCTCTCTCTAACTAGCACAGTCGGACTCCCAAGCTCTGCTGTCCTTGTAGAAGAGCTGCTTCTTGTCCCACTGAAGAGCCTCAGCTGCACTCATGGAGTTCAAGCCCCTTGCTTGCTCCTTCTGTTTAAGAAACAATGCACTTTTACTGAAGTAAAGTTGAGGGTACATTAGAGCTTATTGGCATGTTATAACAATAAATCGATTTTTAAAATTCTGTTAGGAGAAAGCAGTGGTCATATAGAAAGCCTTATCTCTGTGAAGTCTCACTTTTTATTATTTTAAATTCTTTCTCCCAAGTGGAAAACAACTAGTGTGCCCCCCAAGAATTTGGAATAAGAGAAATAAGATCACTCTCTGAAAGCCCAGTCAGTATTATTCTTAATTGATCAAAGCAAAACCAAGTCACTTTAAAAGACAGCATTTATTTCTAGGCTTGTGTAAGACTTGACTGTAAGCCTAAAGAGCAAACACCCCATCCTGTTCATTGACTGACAGTGAAAGCACAGGAGAAAGGGGTACAGGTGAGTTTGGCTGCTGCTCATTTACTATCCAGGGGTGAGGAGTGGTGGCCAGTGAGATGTCAACTGCCTGAGGGTTTGACATGTCAAGACTGTATTCGAGGAGGACTCTTAACAAGTAATTCTGCTTCTGTATCACTTCCTAGATTTCTGGTTATAATTTGATTTTCCATATATTTATCTATAGGGAAAGCATAATCCAGTCATAGTTTGAGAATCTGGTTATACTTGTTCATGAGTCTGCTTTCATAATTATACATTGATGAATTGGTATTTTCATGAACTTGTTCAGTGTGGATCTGCTAAGGTTCATTTAGGCTTCTAAATTTGAAAACCTGAGGGCCAAATCTTGGACTTTGTGGTAAGATATCCCAAGAAACTCAGTTGTGAGTCGTCTTATGAGAAAACCAGCAGTTTTTCTATCAGTGTCCATCTGTCATAAATTAAGACCCTTGAGGAAGCTGTCATTTCCTTTGCATGATTAGACTGCGGTTGTATAAAGCTGTCTTTCTGAAATCCAAGATTTTGCAGTTTTATAGAAAGCTAAAGACTCTGGAATTATTTTTTTCCTTTATAAATGAATTGTTTTTAGGGCTAAAAAAATATATATGTGTATATATATCTTTTGATAAGATGCTTAGTAGAAGATAATATTGTGCAGCATTTCCTTAAAAAATGGTTTGTAGTCATGTTTGCTGCAGATTGGTTACCTTCTGACAGATGGGGTTGGCCTGGATAAGTAGGAGCAAAGGCCCTGGAAGTAGACACACCTGTGCAAAATCTTAGCACTACCGTTTCCTCATTTGTGACCATTATCACACTGCTCAGTATTCCCGAGTCTAAGTCTCTTCATCCATGTAACAGAGATGAATACTACTGTGTCTCTTATACAGCTGTAAGAAGTAGCTTAGATATGCAGCAAGCCTTAGTACATGGTAAATGATAGATGGTGGCATTGGTTAAGGATGCTGATGGTTGGGGAAGTAGATACAAGATTGAAGAGCATCTTGGAAATACCTTCTTTTTCTTTCAATATATATGTTTTATTGAATTTTTGTGTGTATCATATAATACATCTTGATCATATTTAGACCTCATCCCCTATCTACACCCCTCATCACCTCCTCCACCCAGTTTCATGCATTCTTTCATATATGTTAAGGCCTTTTGAGTCAGGTTTCTGTCCCCAGACGTTCCTCAGTGTGAATTCATCCACTGGAGCCTGGTCAGCCTATGTAGAGTCACCTCCCTTAAATTAAATGTCATCACTTTTATACTCCATACTTTTTGATAGTTAATTAAGAATATATGAAGTTAATAAGTATTCAAGAAGGAACATGGTTTCCCAGAAGTCATCTAGTTAATAAGCATTTGAAGGAACTGATGGGTTTTTATTATTCTATATATTGTTGACATAATTCTCTGTTAGGGGGCTGGAGAGCTGGCTCAGTAGTTTAGAGCACTGGCAGCTCTTGCAGAAGACCTGGGTTCAATTCACAGCACCCACAATCTGGCTAACAACCATCCATAACTCCAGTTCCAGGAGATCCAACGCCCTCTTCTGACCTCTGTGGGCATTGCACAGCAGGGGTGCAATTACATACATACACATAAAATAAAAACATAAAATATCAAAAAAGAATTATCTGTTAGAATCTTGTAAATATAAATTGCTTCAATTTTAAGAGTAAGTTTAAAAAAAATTAAACCAGTAAATAAATTTATCTTTTAATTGTGTGTGCTTGCTTGTGCACACATGCATATGACTGCAGGTACCAGCAGAGTCCAGAAGAGGGAGTCAGACCTACTAGAGCTGGAGTTACAGCAGTTGTGAGCCACCTGATGTAGGTTCTGGGAACCCAACTCGAGTCCTCTGTTAGGACAGTATGCAGTTTTTAAACTGCTAAGCTACCTTTTCAGCCCTAAGATTAACTATTTTTAAGAAAAATTAATTTGTTCTTTTTGTTGTTTTGGTCTTTTTGAGACAGGGTCTCCCTGTAGCCCCAGCTGGCGTGGAACTCACTATATAGACCAGGCTGGCCTGGAAATCAGAGATCCTCCTGCCTCTGCCTCCCAAGTGCTGGGATTAAAGGCATGGGCTACCACGCCTGACTAGAAAAATTGATTTGTAATAGATATTTGGAAATTGAAGCACAACTTCCTTTAAAACAGTTCTGTGAATGGTTGTTCTGATTCTTGGGGCAGCCTAAAAAAGACAGCTTAAAAAATAATGTGTGCAGTGCCCTTAGTCCTGACCTGTGCTGGAGCTAAGGATTCAGTAGAGTCACGTGGGGCCTGTGCTTTACCCCATTTCCCTTAGGGCCATCAGCATTTGTAAGATGAAATTTTCTCTACCAACTTTCTTCCACAGTACCTCACCCTTTTCAGCTTCTGCTTTTCTAAAATATTCTGCATAATTTGTGATTTGCTTTTCTTATCTTTAACAGATATGTATAAAGTGAAACTAATTAGAATGTTAGTTCCTGAAAACATAGACACATACCTTATCCACATGGCAATTGAGTGCTTTGAAAGTGATCCTGACAGCCGAAGCCAGCCATCTTGTGGTTCCAACAGGAAGAGATATTTCTCCAGCTCTGAAGAAAGCTGTTCGAGTGCCAAGAGAAACAAGGAAGTAGTGGTCACTGATAACAAGGTATTAATTATACATAGAATTTTTATGCATTTTTTGGTTCAGTTTACATGTTCATACTAGAATGGTGCAGTTTTGAACCGTTGTAAATTCTGATATAAGGTATATCTTATATCAGATATAAGATATCTCTGTGTTTTGTATTTCCTTTGCTTTTCAGAATATGTTCTGGGAAAAGCTATTTTTTAAAAGACACTGAAGGGAGATTATAGTCAATCTATATAGTTTATTGTATAGAATGTCAGCTTAAATTTTACCTGTGTTGGCTCTATAGGCTGGAGAAGTCCACCTTCTTTCGTAGATGGAGTTAATAGAGTTCAGCATTGGCAGTGTGTAAGGTTAATGAAAATGAAAACAATTTTGATCTAAACTCTAAACTTCTCCCATTAGTTTGGCATTCCTCCTGCTGTTACAAGATCTGTACTCCACATAGTGATGGTTAATGGTTCTGAGTATATCATACTGTGTCTTTTGCATAATTAGAACAAGTACACAGTGATATTTTAGATGATATACAGTATTAAAATCAAGTGCTTTAAAATTACTGCTTGATGTATTATATGAGAAATTTGATAGTAATCAGAGACTCTGACGTAACTGCTAAGTACAAATTTGAAAGTCTGACCTTCAATACTTTCTACGTCTAAAATTACATGATTTTAAGATAATAACTCCTGAACTTTTAATAATTCACTAAAAATTATTTTGGCTCTTACAGGGTAAATTTGGTGTGGTGATAGGCAGGTGTTAGCATTTATATTAGAAATAAAAATCTCCATTTGCTACATAGTACTACAGTACTCTTTATGGGCTTTCTAACACTGAGCTCTTACTTTCTCAGTAATTTAAAATTTTACTTATTTAGTCTTTTATTTCTGAGTGTTTTGCCTGCATGTATATAAATACACCACATGTGTGTGCTGCCCATGGAGGCCAGAAGAGGGCATAGGATCCTTTGGAGTTACTGATGGTTGTTAGCCACTATGCAGGTGCTGGGAACAGAACCTGGGTCCTCTGCAGGAGCAACCAGTGCTCTTAACCATTGAGCCATTGCTCTTGCCCCCTCTTCTAACAGTTTAAAATAAAGGGAATTGGTCTTATTTTTTTAGTTGAAGTGATCTTTTAAAATTCTATACTTCTATAGGTTTGTGAACTTTTGTGTTTTAGATAACGTAATGTGTTGTAATTATTTGGAAAGGTTTACATTTTTATAATTAATTATAAAAGCAATATTAACCCAAATGTATTTTATGTAGCATTAGTGAAATGTAGCTTCTGTGCTCACCTTTCTGTTTCTGTAGTTTATACTGAGCAGCACCTAAGACCCTCTTGTTTTTCCCACTAAGAAAAGATGTCATGTCCTATTTATTACCAGCCTAGTGTCTGAAATGTGAGCGTCTTTCTTTTTGCCACTCATTTCATGTGGAATTAGTTTTCCTACACTTCCAAAAGAAGGCGTGATGCAGGATGGCTTTCCTAACTTAATAGAACTGCATAGAATGCTCTTTGTGTAATATTCAAAATATGGAGAACTTGGTTCATGAGTTGCACCCCCCCCCCCGTTTTTGTTGGGTTTTCTTTTCTGATTGTCTCTGTTGCACCTGCCCTGCTGGCTTTAGCTCAACCCTGGCAGTTTCTCCTGAGTAGAGGCCCGCAGAGTGCCTGGAGCTAGTTAACTGCCCTTCCTGCTTCAGATGCTCACCGGGCTCCTCAGGTTCTCCTGTCGGCAGACACCGCAGTGCGTGCCGCGCTGCTCTCACCCACACAGGCTTCTTACCATGCAGGTCTTAAGGGCTTTTGGAGGTCTATCTCTACATGGGTGTAGATTGGGTTTCCTGAGGCTTCTTTTAAACTCAGCCTCACTGTAAACGTAAAAGATGGGGTTTGTGTTTTTATCTAGTTCTGTTTTATTGCTGGGATTCGGAAACAAGAAACCAGTTTCCACCGCCATCTTCCCAGTCCGTTCTCCAGACAGTATTTCCTGCGCTGCCACTGCCCGTTATTATAAATTAAAATAGACCATGTTGTTTACAAATTATTTAAAGAAACTCATAAAAATACTTTTTGGCTAATTATTTTTAGTCAGTGTTGTTAAACTACTTTAGAATAAGAATTTTCTTTTAAGCTTTTCTAGGCATAGATTTGGAAGAGGGGTACTAAGAAAACTGCCTGCTGTAACTACCTTGTATAACTTTACAGGCTGATGGAACACATCCTGATAGTTTTTCACTGAAGGACAAAGGCTGCAGAGATTCACTCAGTTCCTGGAATCAGCCACCGGATGATCCAGACATGGAAGATTTATTTTCAGATTCTAATCCACAGGTAAAATTGATTATGAGTAATTTTTCATGATAAATACATTAGGCTTGATAGCTAACATTTACATTTTTCTTAGATATGAAAGTAAATGTTCATATAACTTGATTCTTCATTTGCTTCCGTGTGTGCATATATAATCATCAAATGAACTAATCCTATCTTACTTGATGATGGCGGCAGCTTGGTAGTAGAATTTGGATTATTAAAAATAGGTAAATAGCCCCATAAATGTTTATTATAATTGTTGGAATTTTAGTGTTCTACTGATGAAGGAAACAGATGCTAGAAGGCACTGTTTCTGTTACATGGCTTAGACCTCATAATTAAGGTCTCTTTCGGTCCTATTGCATGTAAGCATTTCCTCCATTTTCTCACTGAAGTGTGATTATAATTGCTGGATAAATACTGACAACAGTAGTCTATAGAAATATTGTGGAAAATAAGACTTCAGATGATGGTAGCTATAAATTAATGAATGTAAAAGTAAGTCAAGATTTTATTTTTCTTTGTGTGCGTGTGCATGTGTATGCATATGTGCTCATGTGTGCACATGCAGGTCGAGGCTTGAGGTTGATATCAGAAATCTTCCTCCATGGCTCTTCCACCGTATTCTCTGAGGCAGGCTTTCTCAGTCAAACCCAGAGCTTTCCAGTACAGCCAGTCTAGCTAGCCTGCTTCTTCTGGCCATCCTGTGTCTTCTCCTTCCCAGGCTGGAATTACAGGTGGGTCACCATGGGCACCCAGTATTTGTGTACAGTCTGAGGATCTGAACTCCAGTTCTCTGGCTTCCTCTTCAAGCACTGTAACCAGTGAGCAATCACCCCAGCACCCAAGGATTTAAAAATATATAAATTGCCTATATTCTCAATAAACTCCAGATAATCCAGTGTTATATACTATCAGTGCCACTTTCTTTGTGAGGAAAGTGAGGGTCAAATTTCATACATAAAGTTGTACAATTAGCAAGTGACTCATTTAGAATTCAAAACTAGTTCTTTCTGTTTTATTCTATGGTATTTGTCTACGATAAGACAACAGTTTTTCCTTTGTTCTGTTTGGCTTTATTACAATTTCAAGTTCAATAATTTTCTCTCCCCTAGGTGCACTCAGGAGTTCAAACTCTCAATTGTAGCCATTTTCAGTTGTTTATGGCTCCAAGGGGTTTTGATATCAGGTTTTTTGGGGAAGAGTAAATATTTCCAGGTCTCCCTGCCTCACCCCCTGATTTAGTGTTGGGGATTGAACCAAGCGTACCGCCCAGCGCTGGGCCTACTTTTTTACTACCAGAGTTCCTTTTATTGTTCCTCTTTCTATCCCCAAAACTTGTTTCATCCTCGTCAAGCATTACAGTATCTTTCTTTTACATAAATCTGACCTATTCTGGTTTTCTCATCTGTGATTTGAAATAGGCACCCAGGAGCAAAGTTGCTGTCCTAGCTAGTTCTTCCCTTCAGCTTTTACAGAAGTGTTGGCCTTTTTTTAACACTTTGGATTTCTTTACTTGAGCTAGAACAGGTAACAGCTTTTATCTTTACATTTTTTTCAACACTTAATATAAAATTTCAGTATGCAAGTTCCATCTCCTGAATATTTTGAAATGCTTTTTAAACATAGAAAACAGAATAAAAATAGTAATTGATTTTTTTGAAAATGTATAAAGTTACCAGTCTTGAAATGGTACAAGTTGCACCATTGTTATACAGCATGACAGTCACATTTAACTTAGACAAGGTCTGTGATAAATAGATTAGCTTGGCTAGATTCTTCGTATCCTGATCTCTGTGGAGCTACTCTACTGTTCGTGTTGGCTCCACACTCATTTGTGCTACTGTAGGCTTACAGAACACTTACCTGCTTGAAGTTATGTTTGTTTCTTTGTTTTTATGTGCAGATGGGGTAGTATAAAGCGTTACTTCTGTGTTCTTTGTATTTTTTTTTTCAGGGACTATAAACACAGTTCTGAGTCTTTGAGGTGAATGGGACCCTAAAATTATATGCCCAGTGTTGTGTACATTGGCCTTTTTGCTGGGAAGAGGCTCTCTGGTTGTGGGAAAATTCTCAAAGAAATCTATGGGCTAAAGCTTTTAAAAATTTATTCAGTGAACTTTTTTGGCACAATCTTTATTTTTACCCTCCCTCCCTCCCTTCCTCCCTTCCTCCCTCTCTCTGTATGTATGTGTGCAGGCACCTACATGCCACGGTGCATGTTTGGGAGTAGGAGGATGATATTTGGGTGTTCTGGGGATCTGAACTCACGTCCTCATGCTTGTGTGACATGTGCTTTGTCTACTGATCCCTCTCCCCAAACCTCATTGGGCTTTTACGCCCATTGTTGCCGGGCTGCTGTACAGTGGTTTAGCCACTCTGCTTGCCTTCCTACCACAATAGATGTTAGCAGGTGTTTGGTTTTTCATATGCTCAATGTAATTTCCTTTGAGCTTTCTCAGAACATTAAATTCACCATCTTTTAATTTTTCTAATTTTTTCTTGAACTCTAAGCTATATCCTCAGCCCTTTAAATGTACCACTTTTGTTGACCCAAAATAACCTTGTCATACTACTTAGATCTGAAATAATGCCCAATTTTTTATGTAACAAATGAGTGTCTGAACTTGAGTATCTTAACCAACTGTGACTAGTAATAATCTGGTATATAGAGATTAGAAACACATGTGCAAACATCTTAATGTCAATTGCATTAAAAATGAAGTTTTCTGCATGAAACTGTATTTTAATAATGAAATGGAGATCTTTTTTAAAGGTTAAAACCTCATTTAATTTTATGTCTTACAGGGTATATACTGAGTACAATACTGTATAACTGTATTAATTCAACTATAAGCCTAAAAATTTACAGCCAATTTTCAAAGAGATGCATCTTAGCTCAGGAAATTGTTATTGAATATGTCAATGCTGTTGTAATAAACTGTTTCTTCTAAGTATGTGGTTATTAAATAAATAAAAAATGTATTATAGTTGAGGAGGAAGCATGGAAATTTACGTCATTAATTAGTAGAGT